GCGAGCTTCCCTGCAGCCCCGTGCTTCCCTGAAGCCTCGTGCTGACCGAACCTGACATCTGTTACTTCATTATGGACAAACGATAGTTTTTAGATTTTTTTTTGGTAAAGATTTTATTTTCTGAAAACTGATCTCTAACTCAGATTAAATGCTCCTCAGTCCTATTCCTGTCTGGGAAGAGACTGCTGCATTATTTCTATATAGTAAACCACTATATGTTGTTTGCCATCAGAGACAAATAGAATCTTGGCCAGTTAGTTTTCATATAAGAATATAGAGGTTGAACAGCAACACTATCAAAATAACCTTTGTTTTACTGAGCGCTTGATGTTGATATAGGAACAGATACGTGTCCACTGTAATTATTTCTTATTCTGAGGTACGTGTCATGATGAGGGCTTTTTATTAGTACTACCACACAACAGTTGATAGCCAACTGTCAGAGTGTAGACCTTGGAAGTGAATCAACTTTAAAAGCAATAAAGACCATTTAAAAGGGCACATCTAGGAATGCAGGAATATTTCCCAAATATATACTGGAGGATTATATAATTGATCTCTCCCTCAGAATCCTATTGCTCTTTATCAACTAGCTTTTTTTTTCTTCCAATCCATTCCTGTTTTTATTTCAGATGTTTTGTAAGCAGTTTGCTAGAACAATATTGATTATCTTTCTTAAACACTGGTACAATAATGACCACCCACAACTCACAGGAATATTTTTTGGGGGGTTGGGACAACCATATACCTGATGTACATGTAAAAAAAGTAAGTAAATCCATGGGGAATCCTATTGCTCTTTGGAATTATTTACCCTGAATATTCTTATTGGTTGATATCACTGTTATTAACCTCTGAATCCTAGGAGTGTACCTTGGGAGATAGGATTTTAGAATCTCTCTTTAAATATTCCTCAACTCCCACAGGTGTACACAGAGATGGAACTACAAATTTCAGCATTAGCAGAAATAGAGAGATGGCTACTACATCAGTGTAAATCTGAAGGATAGATAGGACCTTATATTCATGTTGTAGAACAACAGTGATCAGATTTTTTGAGACAAGAAGTAAAATCACAGGAACTAGTGGAGCTTCTATTTTTATTTTGTCTGAACACATACACATCTCCCTATAATTTTTGTTCAACAGCTTTGTTGTATATTTTACAAACTACAATTTACTCATTTGTTAACAATGGATTATTTTCATTTCCAGTAGTATATAGATATTCTTTAAGTTCAACCGAGTTTCTGCATAATAACATCCAATTAAAACACTTTTGCCAGTTACCAGCTCCCACTTACTTTATACTGCAAACACAAGAAATGTCTTTTTCATTAAAATAAAATATCCAGAACGTACGTGTACATGGAGGCTATTTTACATGGATATTGGATGTTGTTGAACTGCAAGTTGCAGCAGCCCTAACTAGCATGGCCAATAGTGAGGGATAGGGAATCATAATTCAGTCACTTCAAAGGACACAATTTCCTCCTCCCCTCCTCTATGGCTTATCTTCTTTTCCTGGTATGTTTTTGTGTGTCAGTTTGCATGTAACAGCATCATCCAGACACTACAGAATACATCTGTTATTGATTCAATCAATCAATCAATCAATCAATCAATCAATCAACCAATCAATCAAATTATTTATGGTCAAAAACCAAACATAAGAAAAATACCAGCAATACAACACAGTAAGTGTAAAAATGAATTTTAAAAATAGCGAGAAAATCCTAAAACAATTAGCAGCTTACAATTAATAATATGAAGACAGCTTCTAACAGCTAAAGTTATTGAGAAGAATTTTGCAACCTTCTTAGAGTTTCTGAAGAGTGGTCACCCAGGAGAAATGAAATGGCCTCCTGATTGCGATGGCAATTAGAGTTGTTAACAATTGAAAGTATTAAACGTGATCGCCATAGGGTGTACAAGAGACATTTAATGGCACATGTGAGACAAATTCTACTTCCAAGTCTGAACAGAAACAAGTTCGGCTTTCATGTGGGAGGCTTATATGTCTACCAGTTGTTGCCCTAATAGGTAGTGTTCCAATTCAGGCCAAAGTAAATAGTCTTCTATGTGGAGCATATAAGATATTAAAAAAGTATCTAGGGACAGTCCAGGGAGGAGAAACAATTGTGCTATGAAAGGGATGAGACATTTTGGCTTTGTCATTTTGGATATCTAGATCCTAAATCCTCTGCTTCAGTTTAGCCAGGGTTCTATCAAGTCCCAAAGCAGATAGTGCTGACAAGGTGAGATCACAGTATGCCAAATCATCATTAATTTGTTCTCTTAGGGTGGAAGAGAATCTATCTAACAAGGAGATATGGACTAAGGAAGTTCCCCAATAGACTTGCTTCAGCTAGACACTAAGATAGCAAAGTCCTGTCAGGATCAGGGCCCCAAGGAAAATGCAGCCTAATTCCAGTTTTGTTTGGATGTTAGAAGTTGAATAAGGAACAAGATTTTCAAGAATTTTGACTGAATTACTTCTAAACTAGGAGACTTTTTATAAATACATAGCTGAGTACCATAAAGCACCATGTGCTGCTGTCTTGCAGCATCACAACATCCCAGGTTTTTCTAATATCTAAGGATTCTGGGGGTTGGAAACCTTTCTTATTGGCAACAAAATTTGACTTAAAGATTCTTAATGGATCTATGCCAATGGAATAGGGTATATCACCTTTTGGGCCCCTAGAGGGTATCAAACTTGGACTGCATGCTAGTTACCTGCACTTTGCCTTCCATTGCAAATATTTTAGCATGACATTTCATCCAGAGAGTGACCACCCACAGATAGTGGAGTCTTTTGTTTTTGACTCAACCGGTCCAAGCCTATTATTACCAGTTTATGATTTACCCACTACTGACCGGTATCTTAGACCTGTCTGTATGAACAGACTGGCTATGACCTCATCTTATTTTTTTTATTGCCCCTTTGTTTATCTGTTGGACATTCAATCTTAATGCTGAAAACATTAACATTCAAATAAGCTAGAAGGAACATAAAAAGGAAAGATAATATGAAAACATGTTAAATACTAAGCAAGCATATACATTTCTTCATGGTCCAACTTAAATATAGTTTTTTAAATTACAGAATCCAGTTCTATTGTATTTTTCTAATGATTTGTCAGACTGAATTCCCAAGAATGCTGGGTTTCATGGAAATTTTCCAAACATTCCCTAATTCAAATATTAGAATAGTTGAACAGCTTTTCCGAAAGTCAGGTTGGACATCATTCTTCATTACTGACCTTACCCTACAGTTCTCAGCCACAAGAGCATTCGGCATACATTGTAAGATACATTCACAACTTCTAAACCCTCCAGGCCAAGTATGTACTTCTTCTAGAACACATGTTAAGATGTCTCTGCAGTTGATAGTTTCTCAGCCAGAGAGGTTCTTCATCAGGATCAGCTGATGGGGAAATAGATTCCGAATTATTTACAAGGGCAGAGATCTGTATTCATATAGTCATTCATCTCCTAATTTTATTACTCATTCTGACACATCAATTGGGGTAATTCAAAAAGAATAGTGTGTGCCTTGAACTCCTTGGAGGTACAGGATTTAAGATGTGAGACTTAAATAATTCTTTACCAGCTGA